GGGTGCAGAGCTTCGGATTGCATGGCATGGGTTGAACCCAGCATGCACATTGGTTCGAGTAGCAAGGTTGACTGGTGAATGTGGGCACCTGATTGACACATGGCTGCTCAATGCATGTGACCAGGAGGATGTGGGCAGTTATGATACTGAGACTCAATCAAGGCAGTTGCTGAGGCAGTTCTAGATGTCCCCAGTCTGAATCCAGTCTAGATGCATGCTGATGAAGGGGTAGTTCCACAGCAGTTACTTGAAGTGGTGGAACTGTCTTCCNTACAAGTTTTTGGCCAGTTATGTTTAAAGAATTTTTCAATATGAAATGTGATTTCAAGAATATAGATGTATTATGTGACTTCTATTATTTCTTGGCTTCGCACCTAGGTGTGGGTAAGAGTGTGCTCAAAAACGGAAAGACTTTGTTTTCATGATTACAACTATAGAGATATAAACAGGAATTCAAGTATTTTCATGGAATCTAGTCAACCATTTATGATGGAAAAAAATATTTAGGAGTACTTCTTCGATGTAAATTTAATTAAATCCTAGGTTAGCCAAAGAAAAAGAAAAGGAATTGTCACTTTTGGTGGTTTATTTATCTAGCCTAAGCAACATTTTTAACCATGATTCCAATAAACATTCCGGGAAAATCTTGAAAATTATTTTCTATAAACCACCACTTAATCTAACTATGTCCATCCAACTCTTACTTTTGAATGGTATGCTCCGTACAATTTCACATCACTTGTGCAATTAGATGTGAACTGAAGTATCCAAACACGTTATCTTGCATTGTCAGAGGAGAAAAAGGAGGCAAGATTTTAGTTAGCTCCCTCTCTCACCTCCCATTAAATCAGGATTTTTTCCTGTAAATGACCAGCAATTTACCCACGATGGGTTCATCCTGTGTTCATAACTCCATCTCTTAAAGTACACACGCCAATTTATTCAAAGTATATCCATTAGCTCAGACAATCTAGCATAAAGGAAAGAGTGATTTAAGATATTTTAAGCTTCAAAAAAGTAAAAAACTTCAATTGAATAGAATGTGCAGGTAAAATAAATAAATAAAT